GTGAATAATTGAAAATGGGAATGTCGTGTTACATATAGTAGTGTAACCACTGGTGTAAGACACTCTTAAATCAAGCTGCTCTTTAAATACTGCAACGCTTCTTTTCATATATTGTCAAGCTTCGCTGGCTTCAAATGGTGTTAGCTGGTCATAACTAATAATTCCCACAAAATAATTTCACTATTGTTTAAAAATGCGAGACAACCCGGATTATTTTATTTTTTTTCCAAAGCTAGAGCGGTTTCAAAAGTAAAGGAGACAAAAATAATTGGAGCCAGTCCTAGTAACGAGCATTTGTGCAAATGCTCGTAAAACCTTCATACCGCTGCTGAGCAGCAAACATTCTGCTTGGTGCCGAACAGCTGGGCTCTGTCAGGCCAAGGATCCAGCACTTTTGTGTCTGACGTGAAAAAAAAACACAACCAAAAACGGGTACAAGAAGGCAACAACGTGATACTTGGGTGTACTCTTCCAGTTATTGGCAGCCTTTGGGTTCGGAAACTTCTTGAGCCAGGAGTTGCATCTGGAATGTAATCGAATAGTCCTTTTTGGACTTCCATCAATTTGTCTCAATTTGCTTTTTGAGTCCACTTATACTTTTGGCCGACATCCTGTATAAATGAGTTCGTCTCACGGGGGGGTATAGAGGGAAACCCCTTCTTTTTAGTTCAGCCTTCTGTTTGATAACTGTTGCTGCTGAACCACTCGTACGTGTGTAGCAAAAGATGGGGAAAGGAGAGTTTCTCTCTATTCCCCTTCTCCTTGTGGTTTGTCACTTCCATAGATTTCTGATATATCGTGACTTTGTTACCTTTTTTCTGAACTGTGGGTTTCTAGATTTCTTTAGTGGTTTCTTCTCTCAAAGATATGATACTTCATAAGTTAGATCACATGTCACACTCTTGGTACACCTTTTTGGGTTCTGCCCCATCTCCATTCAATTGTTGTGTATGCCAGGGATTTATACAGTGACTTGAATATGGAAAAAATTATTAGGAAAGGAATAGGACAGAGAGCTTCCTATTTTTCTTCCCTAACTGGTGCTTCCAGTATGCTGCTGGTTCGCTGTTTTTGGATGCCTGACACTATTCTTACCTGTGAATTTTAATTCTTTCCACCTGTGCTTATTCTGGGCCCTACTCTGCAGCACAAAAGCTTTAGATTGGATGAACTATTCAGAAGTTTTTCATATCAAAAGTTATTGCCACATTTTTTTCCCATATTCTGTATTAGAAAACAGAATGGTAGTTGACAGTATTTAATCTTCTGAATGAAAGACTGAATTGACTTTTTCTGTAGTGGTAGAAAATGAGAAAAACTATCACAGCAGTGTTGGGAAGGCTTGCTGGGAAATGAGCACTGCAATTAAAACAGTCTGATGATCTCTTCGTTGTTAGAGCTCGGGGGGGTGTGTGTGTTGTATGTGCAATAAGACTTGTGTGGTGTTTTTTTTTTCTTATTTGTGCCAGTGTTGTCTGTGTCTAAATTCAGTTTTGATAAATACTTATTATTATATATATTAAACTATTCTGTTCATTCTACAATAAAAGGAAATTATAGGAATTTTAATTAAATTTAATCTTCTAAATGAGATCTTTATACATACTGTTGATGCCCAGAGGTAAACTTTTAAGCAAGTTTAACTACAAATAAAAGCAACTCTGGCTATCTCCTATGATGGTCTTTTTGGAAGAAAGAGGTATGGAAAGTGTTCTGAATATATTTCCAGACAGAGGAAACCTTTCCTATGGTAACTTGTGCTGCAGATTAATGGGGCAAGGATTATCGAACGCTCATTTTGGCTGCAAAAAATAGTGTAACCAGTAATTTTGAAATGCGAGAATAGCAATACATGGGATCTAAATTTGGCCATTTCTGTTTCTCCTCATCTTTCTGACATCTGCTTGTAGCATTTATAGAACTGCTTTGTGGAGATGGCGAAATGTTAAGTTTAGATTTGCTTTACTGGGGATCTTGCTGAGTCACAAATACTTTTAACTGCTGAGAGCTGGGGGGAAGAAACATTGACTGTTTTGCTCGTTATGTAAAGCTTTTACTCCTGATGCATTTTAGGTGTATATTGTAAAGCTGGTGCGTTTGGCAAATTCTGATTTTTTTGGGCGGTACTGTACCTGTGGATATGTGTAGGACAGAATTCCTGCTAGTCTGTTCGCTATTTTTTTTATGTTCTTCATTCAGTATTTAAAATTGACCTTCTGTGAGTGTCTGTACGTGTCTCCACCAATGCCTATGGCTCTGTCTGAACCTGCTGCTTTGTCCCAGGCCGGGCTCTGTATGTGATTTGGTGATGGCCATTTGTGTCAGGCAGAGGAAGGAAGGTGCTGGTGCTCCCCACTCCCCGTGGGTCACCTCCTGGTACTGAGTGTGCAGGGTCTGAGCTTGATTCCCTCTCACGCCCCGGGGAGACTCAATCCTGCCTTTCCAAGGAGCAGCAGCCAGCAGATCAGTGACTATTCTGGGACTGGAGCAGTCCCTACCCCCTCCATTGAAACTCTGTCCTGTGGTTTTCTTCCAAACAAATGATGAAACTTTCCTTAACAAGAGTCTCTTGGCATCCCCTGTATCTCCAGTGGGAGATAGAGGGGAGCTCCAGTGGGAGCAGGAAAAAGCTGAGCACCAGTCTGGGGAGGTGCATGGAGACTGAGGTCCCAGTGCCGCTGTATCCCAATGGGAATTGTGCCATCTTTCCCTGGAGAGGCTCTGAAGGGACTGTGGTAGCTGTGAGATGGGTAAGGGTTAAACGGCCCCGGGAGCTGTCAGATGGAAAAGGAGGGATGGTTGGGGAGAGACAGAGAAAGGTCAGGGCTGGCGTGTGTGGGCTGGGAGATGATGGGGAGATGGGGATCGCCCACCGACACGGCGCGCGGATTAACCGTGTCTCTCCATAAACACTCCTCGCGGAGCAGAAACAAACCTGGCACTAAATACCTAGAAATAGCGGTGTCCCGCCTGTCTCAGTTACCCCCGGGGCTTTGGAAAAAAATTAATCTTGAATTTCTCAGCTTGGGGCAGGGGGAACCACTGCTGACTTTGAATTGTGGCCGGGCTGGAGGTCTCTGCAAGTGATGGGTTTGCAAGTGTGTGAGGGCGAGAGATGTAGAGCAGGCATCTGCAATTTGGAGACAAAACCTTGTAAGTGGTGGGTTTTTTTTTCCTCCTGCTTACATTTGTTAACACCGTTCAAATAAAGCAGATGTAAAGGCTTCTGTTAATAAAGGGATAAACTCTGTAGCTTGGAATGAGAGTTGGCTTTTGCTCTGTATGACAGAATTACTGGATTAGCTATGTCTGGAATTTAAAGCAGCAGTTTGTAAATACATTCAATTTTAGTCTTTTCATGGTATTGTGGTGATATATTCTCTACTTTATAAAAGGAAAGTAACAATCACTGGAGAACCATAAATATTTACATTTTGGGGAAGCAGCACTTCAGGAACACTGTTACACAGTGACAACCGCAATGCTTGGCTTTGCGTTCCTATTCTGCGACACTCACACTAAGTTGCTTCTCACTTCCCTCCCCAATCTTTATTTCCATTGGGAAAGTTACTGTTCTTGTTGTGTGGTGCTGTTAAAGGACTGGAGAGGTGAAAGGTTCAAGTGTTAAGAAAACATATGTGCAGTCTTGATAGCTTAAAGTATACCAAAGAAAAAAAAATCATAATGTGGAGGTTCATGTGAGTAACTGAACAGAACTTCAATTTGGGGGTTTGTTATGTTATTTATTTTCCTAAACTGTAAAGCCAAAAGATCAACATAATGAGAAATGTAGCTTATTATTAATGCAGAGATTTTACTTGTGAATTAGATAATGGTCCCTTAGCATCTCAAGTAGTAATGGATCTATCCATGAGTAAAATGGTACTTACTATGAGAAATACTCGTTGGCCACCTGAAGCTATTCAGTGTAGGTGCAGTTTGATTCAAAACTGAAGTCTCCAAGTTACTTAACCTCATGTGTTTGGCTTGTTGCCATGAATGGGAAATTAAGTTTCCATAAAAACTGCAAGATGTGAAATGAAGCAGTCTCAGTAATCTAGAGTTAAATTTGAGAACTAGATGGCTTTCCTTCCAGATTTTTTCCAGAATTAGAGTGCCCACTCTTACCTGTCCTGATTTGTTAGCAAATGTGTGGCAAATTCAGAACGTGAGCTGACGCTGATGGAAAATTGCACCTGCTTTACTGGGCCCAGTAGCTTGAAATCTGTGCTGTGTCTTCAGTCCTCATCCTGCTGGGCTTTCCTGCTGGAGATAACCATTTCCATGGAAGTGTCTCAACAAAAGATGCTCATTCACAGCAAGTTTTTGAGAAGTCTAAAGTTAGATGACAGTGCTGTATAGCATCCAAGTAGGTCATGTCAAAACCGTACTTTACCACAACAAGCTTTTTGGATCTTGATAGTTTGATATTGCTGTCTTTTCTTACCTGAATGTTTAACTAGTTGGTGGATGCATATAGCACTGAAAGTGACTGTTTCCTCAATTTTGGATGCTCAATATACTTCACCCAAATATACAGTATGTTCTTTCAACAATATATTTTTTTAATGCTTTTCTGAAGCTGGAGAAAGCTAGTATGCCCTTCTTGGTATCTAAAACCCAAATGCAAAGAGAAAGATGGAAGAATATGGTTTCAGACATGGTGTTGCTTTTAAAATTGCAGTTATGAGGATTGTACATCAGTTTCCAGATGCTTCTCTTATGCGTTTGAGGTTTGCTTTTATTATCTGTTGGAAGTATTGCTTGTTGCAGCTACCTGTTGCACCCCAATACATTTGGGCTGTTGTTTACAAAAGCAAGCTCTTTCTGTCTTCTGTTGGAGATGTTGCAATAAACAGTGTTTGTGATTCTCTCCTGAGTTCAGTCTCATCAGAATAGTGTCCAAAAAAAAAAAACCAAACTTCAAGTACCTCTGAATCTTGCTTCTTTTATACTTTAATCTTTTTATCACTGACTTTCTTATCTGAATCGTTCTTTAGGGCTGCAGGGTTCTGGTTGATGCACGGGACAAACTGGGAATCCCTTGGCAGTACACGGAGAATGAGAAGCATGGGATGTTTCTGATGGCTTTTGAAAACAAAGCTGGGATGCCCATCGAGCCTGCCACCTTCCAGCTGTACGTACCCGCGCTGGGCGCGCTCTGGAGGGATTCAGGAATCAAGGAAGCCTTCAGCCGTCGGAGCGAGTACCAGCTGGTGAGTACATCCATCTCCATGGCAGGAGCAGAAAAGTCCCCTGCTGCATAAATATCTCTTCAGCTGAAAGATTGCTCGCTCTGTGCGAGGTTTAGCCATTCTGTGAGCTGTTTGTAGTAACGCTGTAAATCTGAGCTCTTCAGCGGCAGAAACAAGTGGTAATTGGAGCCAAACTTGAAAAACTACATGGCAGTAAGAGGGAGTGGAAAAGTGCACATGACTGGATAAACTGGAAGAGCAAGAGGAACCAAAAAAGGCAGGAATTGGTTGAACTAAAAATATTTTAGCAGCTCAGTAGGTCTGTTCATAGTAGGTCACTGATGAAGGCACACTTAATTTGTAACTTTCCAGTCCTGCCAGCTTGCACTATATTGATACTGGCAAACTGTTCCTGCATGCAGATCTTTTGAAGTGAATGCAACACCCATTCCGGCTGCTGCTCTTTGACTGTTTCTTTTCATCCTGACGTCTGCAAGTGAAACTTGGATAAGCAACTGAAAGATGACAGTGAGCTTAAAAATGTGCTATCTTCCTTGCTTTCTTGTTAGTAGGTTTTCATGTTCTTGTGCCAAAATAGCTGCACTTCTGGTATGGAATATGTTTCTGACAGCTGTTCGTAATCCACTCCTTTTTCTTCCTATGGAGGTGCTTTTATTCTCTTTCTTCTCTGTTCAGTGAAACAAGGTACTGATCCATGCAGCCTAGAACCATGTTTAACATATGACTTTTTCTTCCTATGTACAAGATGGAGGTGCTTTTATTCTCTCTTCTCTGTTCAGTGAAACAAGGTACCGAGCCATGCAGCCTAGAACCATGTTTAACATATGAAATAGGGTGATAGTCTGATTGGTCTAATTAATTTATCTTTATGATTTTAACATATTAATTTTGCTTTAGTCTGCAGGTAGAATTCTTTGGTTTGGGTAGGTTCTGTCTCTAAACTTCATTCAGCTTTTCTTAAGGGGGGAAAAAAAAAAGGCAGGCAGTTAAAGGTGAAATTCTTCATGGCTGGATATGTTATCAAAGTTTCATTAGAGGACTTAGAAACATGGCTTTGTGTGGTCTCCCTTAGACTCTTACAAAGGAACTCGATATAGCTATAGAGAAACTAGAGAAATTCAGCAGTGAATCTCTCATAGTTTGTTTCCTTGTGCTGCTCCTCTGCAGCACTGTGGATTCTCTAGTGTCTTAATGCTGTAATTAAACTCATGTTGCAGCCTTTAGGTGCTCATCTGTCTCCACTAATAAATGCCTATTTGAGTCTTGTTGCACCTTTGAAATCTGTCTCTGAAGTATCTTGAGACTGGTAAATGGCTAAAGAGTAAATAAAATGACTAGGTAAAATTGCCACAGGATGATTGTATAAATCTCATTTCCTTAGGCTAAAAATGTAATGATTTCTGTGTTACAGTGTTGGGGCTGGGGGGAGGATGTGCAGGGGGGGAAGAGAAGATGGATCAGTTGATTCATAATTCCTGGTGTCTGTAGACACAGACTAAGACTTTGCTGTTCTAAACACTGTTCAAACGTGGAATAAAAGGATGGTTCATGCCACAGGGAAGTTGAATTTAACATGAGACAACTACTAAGAGAATCCATTATAATAAGCAATAATTGCATCAACAGCCTGTTAAGAGTTTATTTTTTTTCCTGGGAAATGCTATGATCAAGCACGAGTTTCGTTTTTAAGTGAGATTCAGCTTGGGATCATGTGGGAGGTTTATTCCTGTACTGGTTAGCAATAAAATTGTATCAAACTGGAAAAAAAGAAATCCAGTTTGTTGAATAAATAGCATTCCAGGACTAGTAGGCCTACCTCTGCATTCTCTGGCTTTGAGGATTAAACAGGAAATACCAAAAAATAAAAAAGCCTCATAAAAGCCAAGCATACAGGCATGCAATCGTTTCATATGCTGTCATCTTCAACATCATGGTATAGTTCTAGCATGAATCTCTTTGGATGGCATTCATATAACCCTTTAATGTTACTGGGGCAAGAGGAGCTGCTGCAGGCACCAGAGCTGTGAACTGGTCACTATGCAACAAAAGAGTATATTACAGAAATTCTGTGTAACTCAGTGTGCATCTGCAGCAGAAAATTGCTTAAAAAAAATAATTTAAATGTATAACTGCACAACTTTTTAAAGAAAGCAGGTGGTTTAAGGAGATGCCTTATTTATACTTGCATATGATATGTGTAAACCCATACCTTAATTTAGTTTAAACACTTGCTGGATATAGACTTGTGTAAATAAATAGAAGCCAGATATAGTGGACTCTGAGAAAATAAATCTTTTCTGAACAGATTTTAACTAAGTCTAAAAAAAACCTCTGCATCAGCACTCCCTTTCTTATTTAGTGTAAGCAAGCTATTAAATGGAATTTACTTGGTTTGAACTGAATTTGTCTCTATAGTAGTCTTAAAATCATCACCAAAATCTTGAAGCTTTACATTACTATGATTTTTTGATAATGACCTTGCTCAGCACTGGCACTTTCTTCACCCTGATCTTACAGGCAACTGAACATCAGCTTTTTTTTTACTATTGTTATTATTTTGACTTCTAAGCCATAGGGTTATATTAGTCTGCTTTTGAACTCTCTGTATTTCTCCAGGAAGCTGTGTGACTGTTTAAAAATAAAGAGTGAAAACATGTTGGTTGGTTAACTAGAGCTGAAAATTGCAGTGTACAGGTGTCTTCCTCTGGTCTGTGAGCCTGGGTTTAATGACTGACTCAGCAGTACCGAACTTGTTGAAAGAAAATGGCTCTGACCATAACCTCTTGCAATCTGAAAGCTGCTTCTCTGGGACCACAGAAGCTGCCTCTGGGCATTTGAGTGTTTTTCTGCTTCATATTCAGTGCCTGGAAGTGCTGGCTGTAAATCCCTGTCTGGGTCTTTGAGCCTTTCAGAAGTGAGTGGGTGGATTCTACAATGGCTGGGTGCTTTTTTCTTTTTTTTTTTTTTTTTTTTTTCCCCTTCACTCACTTTCTTAAAGCAGACGAACCAATTTCACTTTCTTTTCACAAACATCAGCCTCTCGCTCTTCCCCCACCCCAGCCTGTCCCCACCAACCCAAGTTCCTCTGTTCCTTGTATGCGAGCCAAGTAGTTTGGGGACAAAAGCTTCATTGTATGTTTGGTTACATTGTCACATCTCTGTCCTCGTTTTTGAACCACTGGGATAGGAATTCCTTTGTAATCAGGATGTGATTCTTCTCCCTCACCCTCATTATCCCACCCCGGTTTCTGTCTGTATGGTAGAAAGGAATACATTTATCACGGGTCGGAAAATGTCCTGTAACATTTGTTCTTTTGGGGCTGCCCGTGGTAGTTTTGGGCAACTGGGTGTTAATTGTTCATTTCCAGCAGGTGGAGACAAATTCTATTTTGAATGGCTTCCTTGGGGAAAGGACCTTGGGATTTCAGTTATGAGTTAGCTCAAAGGGTGGGGGCTTCTTCGGTTTGAGCCTAATAACCGGGATTTAGGTGCACTTGGGAGTTCAGGTGCCTCTATAATAATCTGCAAGATTTTTTTGCACCCATAAAAGATGTTTCCTTTTATGTCATAAATCACGGAGATTTAGGCCAACGTAGGAACTGCTTTGGTCAGGTGGGTTTTGTTTTGTTGGGTTTTTTCTTTCCTCCCAGGTCTCTAGTGGGAAAATGCGAGAAGCCAATCACTCACTTCTGGTTTAACGTGTCCAGAACAAACGTAAAATCTGAAGTGAGGTTAGCTACTTGTCATGACTTCTTGCAGCTTGGCATGTTTCATGTCATTGTGGGGAAAGATGGGACAAATAGGGCTTGTCAGGCAAGAAAATTACACTTTTGTCCTGGTCAGAACAGATATATATTGTGCGCTAGCGCTGTTACAGAGCTTAAGCTATCAAGGAGCAGATCTGCAGAGCTGTCATCTGGCTTCATCAATCCTTAAAGCAAAATTGACATTGTTTTATCAGATGAGGTTTTTAAATGTGCACACTGTTTTGGTTTTGTTTTTTAATCTCTATCCTAACTACTCTTAGTCAAAGCAATATTTTTATTTGAATGATTCTTACTGCTTCCCTTCAAAGTACCGAGTCTTTTCTGGCCTCTGACTATGGATTTCAACAGCTCCTGGACTTGTCCTGTGCTACAAGTCATATTCTAGTCTTTTCAGGATTGATAGGGCTATTTATTCTGAACTCCAAAGCCTTTTTTCAGTGAAGGCAGTTGTGCTGAGTTATTCACGTGCATCCAGACTGGCTTCTGAGTTGTGTTTACAGATACCCACCCTTCTTCATACAGAAGAGCATGGCTGTCCAAGGAGCTGCAAAAAGCAGCTGTTTTAATGCAGTTATTCTTAATATACAGAATATCTTAATGATACACCACTAGAGTGTCAATTTAAATTTCATTATTCTTACTGATGTATTATTGTTATTGGTGTTCACCGCACTGTTGAAAGAATTTCTAATGTTTAATAGTTCCTTTAAAAAAAATATAAGAAATGTCAGCATTAATGGTAAGTAGTGGTTCCTGAGAGGGAAGTAAGGGGCCTGCAAATATAGACAAAAACTTACTACTGTGTCCATAGCTATTTTTAGATCTCTGCACAGGGAATTGTATGGAACACTTCCAGTAATACTTCAAATGCTAAGAGCCTCTGAAGCCTTGGATGTGGGAAGACTCTGGAAAATGTTTTAAAGACTGTTTGACTGTTTCTTTTATATCGATTCGCCATTCTCTGGGTGTTTTGAGGTGTGGGGGTTTTGGGGATATTTGTAATAAGACACGAGGCACTCTCCTATGAATTAACTGGGGTTTTTTCCCTTCTAAGCAGACCCTTGAAATAAATCGAAGTGGTTAAATTATGCCTGCCAGAACAGATAGTGGGCTGGAAATGTTGCATAGTGAACAGCCTGCTCCTGTACAGCTTAGTACAGCTTGTGGCTGCATTCTCCTTATGCAAGGAGCTGGTGGCTTCAAAGCCTCTTAGGCAGCCAGCTGTGTGTTTTG